GTAAGGCACTTGTTTCTAATAGCTTCTTGTTACTACTAGTAAGGCACCTGTTACTACTAGCTTGGCACTTGTTACTACTGGGATGCAGCAAGGAGCTGAAGAACTTTTTTGAGCGTTTCACGGCGCAAATTGGTTATACTCAAGAGCGCGGGCTTGGGGCAAACAGTTCGGCGTTGTAGTTCTGAGATCAACAGGTGCTACACCGTGTTGTTGGTTATTTTTACATGACGGTCTTTCCCGAAGTGCGGATGCTCTAGAATTTCGAATTCCTGCTTTTTCACCACAGCTGATTCTTTGATATTCTTCGAATGCAATGGTCACAGAACACTGGGCAACCGACCAGCGTTCACCATCGTTTGTTCTGCACTTGGCTTCGTCTTCGCATGACGCATACGACAGATCCCTCGCAGCCTGAGGAAGTGGAGTTCTTCGAAGACGATTTGTGCACCTTCCAATTGTCGGGTGCCATTTTTTCCGTCGGCAGCGACAAGACCTCCGGGGTGCCGCGGCGTGACGTCCGACTGAAGACTCGGAGGTTTGAAGGGACATTTGGGCGAGGGTGGAAGATCGGTGTTTTGTTCATATCAGAATGTAAGTGGAACATGTTGAGGTTTCGCCAGTGTGCGAGGTCGGGTGATGTTTTGTCAGTCCTGACAGATCACTTTACAAGCACCTTGTCCTTTTGCGGCATCCCTGCCATACCTTTCGGGACTTTTTGAGAGTCCTCCAAAGATTGCAGAAGAGATGAAAGAGACTAAGAGACGAAGAAACTCAATGGGAAGCTCCAACATCCACAGAGGAAACACATCCTTTAAAACTCCCAACAGCACGAAGACCTGACTTATAGCTGACTGAAGGTAGACACACATATTATCTTGCGTGCGGACATGAAGTTGTTTGGTCCAATACAAACATTCAATCCTTGCTCACCTACAAGTATTTGTATACTCCAAAGCTCCTGTCTATGATGTACAAAAGGTTCAATTACGTTAAACGAATTGAATTCCATATGCTTCCTTTCCCATCAGCAGTTAGCAATCATGTCCTTTGTTCAAAGGTCTTCTCCTTGGACGATGATCCGTACTCTCCCCCCCAGGTCTCGCCCAGCATCTACTCGGAGCGCAACGTCTTCGACGGCAACGTGTCCAGCTTTTGGATCGCCAAGTGCGATCCCATCCCAGGCGGAGCGGAGCCGACCGAACGACGCACCGAACTGACCGCCCCTGGAGGAAGAGGGGAAGCGTCTGGGATGGGGACCACCGTCAGGTGGCTTTTGGAAGGAGTTGTTGCCATCACCAAGTCGAATTCAAGCATGGACGGAGAGATATAGCATGTATTGGCATGTATTGTATGTACTGGTGTGGTGCGCTGTTGTGAACAGGAGTCTTCGCTTCGCCGTCGACGTCCCAAACCTTCCGCAGTTCTTCGACGGCTCAGCTGTTTGCACAGGTTCCTTAGCACCGGTGATTTGGGGCGACGGCTTGCATTTCGACGGCTGCGAGCCTGAACAGGCGAATCGGCGCTGTTGGTAACTTGTGGCACCATGGGATGGCCATTTTCGGCTCTTGATGACCCGGTGGATCTCTAAAACGACAAACGACTATTTATCGGTTTCAAGATGCATTCGTTGTCAAACCTGTCTTTGGAAGATGAAACACTATGCCAAAAGGAATGCCAAAGGCACCCATCACCAACAAAAGAAAAACAGCTCCTGCTTGTCATATTTCATTCTGTGCGGCCTGTGCGTGCTGTGAGGCCTATGTGGGCTTGGAGTTCGACATGCCGCAGACGGTCCGCTGCGTGCGGCTCTTCCAGAACGTCCCGCGCGACATCTTCGAGCGCGAGTCGCGGCGCAGCTGGACGGAGGGCTTCGCCTTGCAGCGATGGACGGGAGTCGAATGGAAGATGGAGGAGCAGTTTTGGGACCCCAAGGCGGGCGACGGAAGAGAACGGATCACACAGAAACCAAGGAGGAGCAAGGAACGGAGCAAAAAGGGCATCGCGACGTATCTTGGAGCGATCGGACGCTACGAACGGGGCTCCTGACATCGCTACTAGGAGCTAGAAGCTACTAGGAGCCAAGGGCATCGCTGTCTTGGCTTTGGCTTCAGGTTTTTAAGTGGAGGAAGGTTGGGGGCTTTTGGGTTACCAAGAGGTGTGTGGAAGCCCAACAGCCTTCAGAACGAGATTCTAAAGCTGAATTGGTGGTGCATGTGTCAGACCGTGTCATCCTCGAGCTTGTGGGTACACTTCCAACTGACCTTTTCCGGAGAACTATGGGGTGGTGGTCTTTGCACCACTTCGGGTGTTGTGATCACCATGTCGGTGGCATCCTATGGGGGTGAAGAAGTTCCAAGCACCCATTGCCCCAATTGCCCCCGTTCCGGTGACCCCCACCTGTCCCAGGGCAGCCAAACCTGTCCCCGAACTCGTTCTTTCGGTGATGACTATCCATCCCCATCCACACAGTTGCGCTTCCCCATGAGAGCCAGCCGCAGCGCCAGCCCCGCCTCCTCTCGCCCTTCGTCTCGGTGTCGAACGACGGCAGGTGACCAACTTCGGAGACCCGAAGTACGCGCCGACCTTCGTGCTGCCCACGCCCTTCATCGGCAACGCGCCCGGGGTCTGGGAAGACTTGCGGCCGGCGAACATGTCCTGCTGGCGGTTGTCCAACGACGACTACACGCAAGGCCTGGAAAGGGTGGGAGAGTAGGTGGTGGGTGGATGGGTGGTGGATGGTGGAAATGGGGGAGAGATGGGGTGAAGGTTTTGGGTCTAACTCCCTAAGACCCTTCCCTTTCTTAGGACCCGACAGGCCATGGAGGGTTGAACCTTTGAAAGCGCGGATTTCTGGGTCTTAGTCTTAGTCTTGTCAGTTGCAGGATTAACATCAATGAACTTCATCAACAGTTAACACATGCTGTTCGTTCGCACCACTTTGCCCACACCTTAGAGACCAAGTTTCCCTCTCCACACCAAACCAGTCAACAGTTCTTCCACTTCCTTTGCCTTTATAGCGTTTATAGTGGTCCCCAAATAGATAGAATCGGTGTCCAACACTCTTTTAAGTGCGCGTCTACGAACTTCCATCTATTTTGGGGGGGTCTATATACAGTGTGCACTAAATCGAACCAGAACGGTAGAATATCCCACGCCTCTCCGGCCTCCGGTAGAGTACCCCTCCTTCTTTCCCCATCGGTCGGAGGTCAGTGGAGCGTCTTGGAGCTGGAGTTCTTCACCAGCGAGTTCTGCGTGGAGAGTCCCGAGGGCGGCAATCCGCGGGTCTCGGGCATCCCGCTTGCCATGCAGGGCCCCAAGGACACCTCGGTGCAAAACGCCTACGACGGCGACACCAGGCCGGGCAGGGGTGGGTGGGTAGTGGTGCTGATGAGATGGGGAGGAGGGGAGTGAGATGGGGAGGAGGGGTGGCATGGAAAGGAAAGTTATCTCATAGTTTAAATGTAGATGTTCTGGCGAATGAGAGATATCAATGTGGGTGGGCATGTCATCATGAAACATGGAAGTGGTGCATGTGTTTCGTCTTCTGCGTCGTCACCTCCGTGTTTGGTGTCGCCGCTTGTGTGTTTGGAGTTCTGAGGCAAGATCTCACCTGGACCTCCAGTTGCAGCAAAGGATTGGGCAACAGTTGCATGCCCGGCGAAGCCTGGCTGGGCATCTATGTCCGTGGCCAGCAGCCGGATGTGAAGTGCTTCAAGCTCCTGCAGCACCTCGGACTGTGGTGCGTGGCGGGTTGGGTGATTCGCGGTTCACCACTTAAATGCTTGTGGGAGGTATTTGTGCAAGAGATGTCCCAAGTTGATCCAATGGACCTTGGTAAATCTCAACGAAGAAGCCACGTATGTGTCCCTGCTCAAAATCCAAGAATCAAAAGTCAACAACAGCCTCTTGTACCATCTGGTTGTATGTATTGGTACCCAACCCACACCCAAACCGAAGGTCCAAGAACCTGAATGAGCAGTCCTCCTTCGTGTCCTTGCACGTCTACTTGGATGGCCAGTGGCGAACCCACTCGATGCACCCGGAGATCGGCGGTGGCACCTGGAATCGCCGCCCGGCGCCGCAGTGGAGCCTCTGGCGGATTCGCAACAACAACGAGATCCTGGGACAGTGGCAAGTGTCTCTTGGAGAGGATTGGACAAGGAAAAGAGAAAGATTGAAACTTGGACATGGGAAGAATGGAAGAGAGATGGAAGAGAGGTCTCTCGGAACTTCCCACATATGACATCATACTGTTGATGGACAAAATCCTGCACCACTGGACGAACAAACTCATGTATACCCTCGCGCTCCCTCTTTAACATTGAGTTGAGGAAATGCCTGAAACAGAAAAATGTTGAATGACCAAAATCCTGCATCACACATAGCAAACATTGAGACAACATTGAGTTGGGGGGCACGGGGGTCTGTACTATTGGAGGACCTCATGTGTTGCTGTATCGATGCATTCGTCCATCAACCGTATGACTCATTTTGCTCCACCTGGGAGTCCAAATCCATCACTGCCATAGGGGTAAAAGGAGTCAGTTGGAACATGTTGGAACTCAGGGTGTACTTACTACTCAAGTTTTCATGAGTGACCCGTGGGCAAGTCTCGCTGGGACCGCTGAGGGAGTGTTTCAACCAAAGCACAAACGTTTGCCGAAGCTTCAAGGGATTCATTAGACCACAGGGAAACGACCCCCAAAAAGGGGCAGCGTGACAGGACCTACCAACGTCTACCCAACCAACTCAATTGGACTGAGGTAGAAAGGCGAAAGAGACCAAGATCATAAACTATAGTGCTCAGCTTCTAGATTCCTCAGTCACGATCACTTCTCACCCTATCCTTTTAGAACGTGCTTCGTTTGCACTTCATTTCCCCTCGTCATCACCTTGTTGAGTCTCCCTTTTCCCTCCAAACAAAGATTAACCCACCGCTCCCAGATGCCTGTGGCTCCAACCCACCCTGTCCTCAAAAGAAACACACCACCTCTCACTCGCCTTCCCCAACCTTTCACCCTTCCTTCTACGCACCTCACTCCGCCCAGGCACGAGGTCCGCGCGTATCGCGACCCGCTCTGCCTGGTGCAGATGACGCCGGGCCTGGCCATCGCCAGCGGCTACCACGGCGTGGACGAGCCGCAGGGCGCCTTCGACGGCGACTCGGTGACCTCCTGGGTGGCCAACTGCGACGTGAGCTGCGATCAAGCGAGGAGGCCGGGCCACCGCGGAAGGGAGCGGAATGCAGAAGGGTGGGTGGGAGCGGAGTCTCAGGTTGGGTTTTTGTGAAGATGTGGGAGTTGGATGGATTATAGGCTTGGGGTGGGTTGGGTATGGGTGGGTGGGATGTGGATGGGTGGGCATTGCAGGGCATTGAGGTTTCATTCAGGCTTGGTTTTTGGGGGGTTGGTTGGATGGGTAGGTTTACGGATTGTGTTGGGTTTGTTTGAGAAGGAGGAACCAATTCCGATCTCCGCATGGGGGTGTCTGGAGACATGTCTGATCTTCCATCCTTCTCACCCCCCCCCCAAAAAAAAGGGAAACACTCCTAACTCCAACCAACTCCAACCAACTCCAACCAACTCCACCCAACATCCCATCCATCCAAAAGGACCAACAACCACCCCTTCCCTTCCCCTTCCCCTACTGTAAAGAACACCCGAAGACCGGAACTCCGCTGTTTGCTCCACGCCGATCGCCGCGAGGTATTGGATCGGCGTGGAGCTGCCCGCCGACGCCGTGGAGCTGCAGCCGGACGCCCAGGGGACCATGGCGAAGGAGAACGTGGTGCGTTGCTTCCGAGTCTGGCAGAGCGAACGGTTGGACCGGCAGATGGTCAGCGCACAAGTGCAGATCTGGAACGGAGAGATCTATACCATGCGCCCTGGAAAGCATGTAGGGCTTCTAGCTTCTTGTAGCTTCTTATGGCTTATAGGTTCCTTATAGGTTCCTTTTCATTTTTTGATGATGATCACTGGTCAACTCAGTCAACTCAAACATAGATGACACCTCTTGCGATTGAAAACGCCTCTTCTTGTCTCTGCCTCCCGCATCGTGCCGCCGGTCTCCGTCTCCCACCCGCCAGGTCGCCGGTCACCGACACGGGCTCGCTGCAAGACCTGGGCGGCGGCGTCTGGTCGCGGCCCGCGGCCAGCTTCATGACGAAGTGGCGCCTGATCCCGGACGATCCGACGGATCGGCTCTGGCGGCTCATGGAGCCTTGGATGAGAGGAGGAGGTAGGAGGTGGGGAATGAAGGAATGGAGGAATGGGGGAATTCTATCCTGGAGGAGTGTAGATGAATGCCGCGAGTCAGGAGGCCACCAAAATGCGAGAGAGAGAGAGAGTGTGCTTTTGTTTCTAGATGCTATTCTAATATATCTGTTATAAGGTGGGGGCCACAGGGGTCCAGGCCTTTTGCCATCCCAACACCTTCGACTTTGCAGCTTCCGCTCCACAGATGCGAAAAAAATGGAACCAGCACTGACCACTAACAGAACTTTGCCCCCCAGGTCTTACCTGGCACTTGGGGGCCTTCAGGGGGGTTGCCCTTCAGCGTGGTGGTCGTGTTGGACCAAATAAGGGGAATCGAGTAAAAGTGCACTTCTTAGGATGTCCACCACGCCGGAACGCCAGTAACTCGCCACTGAAGAAGACCCTGATCAAACTGACAACTCGCAACTCGTATCAACTCACATATTTCTCATTTTAACAAATCTATATAGAATTATATCTAGGAGCAAAGAGCATCGCTACTAGGAGCAAGAACGCTACTAGGGGCTCCTGGTCGTACTACTAGGAGCAAGTAGCTACCTGTAACAAGAAGCTACTAGGATATATGGTCCTTCGTATCGTAGGTTAAAACGAGGTTGATCTATGTTTTCATTGCAGTGTTCTGGCTTAAGTGTCTGGATAGGAAGTTGGCGCACGACTACTCCACCTGCGGTTGCAGGTGCTGTGCCATCCTAGGCAAGCTCTCGGGTTTCCTGCTTCGAGCAGGGACTCGGGAGGAGGTCCGGCTGTTCGCGGCTCCCATCCTGGAGGCCGTGTACACTCAGGTCCTCGAAAAGGCACTGAGCCAGCCTGAGGTTGCAGGACCTCCTCCTGGAACTTCCCGAGAGGCCAGTGGATCTGGCTCGGGGGCGGCGGCCCCTGGTGGTGCGGGAGAGGCGTCTCCTGGCAAGGCGGGAGCTCCAGCTCCTGAGGCTACAAGGGCTGCAGAAAGCCCTCCGCCTGAAAAAGAAGAGGGCGGGTCATCCAGCAAAGGGCGAGGGTTGCCACCTCTCGCCCGGCTGAGGAAGAGAGATCGACGAGACGGAGAGGGTTCTTTCGTTGAGACCAAGGTCAAAGAGGAGCAGCCGGTGGACAAGAAGGAGCCCCTCGAGGACGTTGAGGAGAAGCGATCCGACAAGAAGAGAGAGAAAGAGAGAGGCCATAAGTCCAGAGGATCGAAGGAGGGTCGTGAAGAAGATCGTCAGAGAAAGAGGTCAAGAGAGCGAGGCAGGACACGGAGATCGAGGAGCAGGTCACGAAGGAGAGACAGGAGGCGGAGAGAAAAGACACCGCCCAAGAGCCCTTCCGTTGGGGCAGACCTACAGCAGGAAGGAGGCGAGAGTGAGGCAGGTGAACCAGATCAGGACCGGGAGATCGCTGAGGAGGAGACAGAAGAGCGGCCGAAAGATCGACCAAAGCCCAGGGAAACAGAGGGGCCACCTCCTGGGTTCGGGAGGGGCCGCTGGAGTGGAAACTCCTGGGGTGACGGGAGCAAGCCGAAGAAGAAGAAGTCCAAGGGCAAGAAACACGTCCTCAGGAACCAGGACTATTGGCGCAGTTGGAGAGAGAGGCAGAGAGGTGCGAGGCTATGGCGCCCAAGAGGAGGCCAGCGGCCGAGGCGGGGCGGCAGAGGGTCGTAAGAAGACGGCCTGCCGCCCTGGCAGGAGAGATCGAAGAGCCGTGGGTGACTGCAGAGGAGGTCACGTTGGCACAGATGGAAGGTTGGGCTCAGATGCGTGTACAAGGAGGGTATTGGGAGGAGGCCGTCGACTGCACCGTGGAGATGATCGAGCTGAAGGCCAGCAGGGGAGACCGAGAGCTCCTAGCCAAGGCAGTGGGCACCTCAAGCGAGGCCCTCCTCCGCTACATCAGCGGGGTGCCGGAGAAGTCCGTTCGGCTTCATCTGTGCGGGCGAAGGTGCGACAGGAGGACTTGGGAAGACGGGCTGATTCATGTCACCCAGGTCAAGCAACATCGTTCCGGGGAAGTGGCTTGGGAGAAGAATTTAGAGACCAGTCGAGCAGAGGCAGAGAGAGACGAATTAGAACGCGTTCGACTAGAAGCTGCAGCCCGTGGAAAAGGACGAGGACTTCCAGCCGGACCACGACCCGATGCAGAGAAGGACCACGCCCCTGGGGAATCGGGAGACTCCGAGGAGCGAAAGAAAAAGAAAAAGAAGAAGAAAAAGGCCAAGTTGAGGATCGAGGCAGTGAAAGACCATACCATCATCTTCAAGAATACGGGCATGGACGCGGATCCCATGAAGCGGAAGAGGTTCAGGCGACGTGCCAAAAAGCTGACCAAGAAGGCTCGCAACAAGGACAGCGCTTCAAGCGGGAGTTCGGAGAGTTCGGACTCCTCGAGCAAGGTCAGCGAAGGAGAAGACTATTTCGGGGAGCTGTTCACGCCGCAGACCAGCACACAGAGGATGTGGGAAAGGCTGCCAGGTGTATTAACGGCCCAGCTGTTACAAGATGCCCAACGCAGTATGCTATTACAGATGGGGAGTATGGCGTCGACTTCAGGGCAGTTGCAACCGCTGACATCCCAATACGTGAGGCAGCAGATGGGGGCATCCATGTCGCCAGTGATCTACAGAGAAGCCATCCATTGGGCTGCAACCCTGGACCTGATGGTCCAGGGAAAGGTGGCCTCAGCCTGCGACGTGATGTCACAGAGACTGAAATCGTTGGAAGCGCTAGCAAAAGGCATGAAGGTCGACTTGATAAAACAGCTGGAGTTGATTCAGGTGGACAACTATGGGCTGGCCAGTTCAAGCGAGCTCCACCAGGCAGGCAGGACAGCGCACGAGGAGAACAAGATCTATGGCAAGGCCACCGGACGAGTTCCCGAGTACAGAGATCGCTTCAGGGAGAAAGGAAAAGTGAAAGGCGAGAAAGGGGAGACCAAGGACAAGGATCGCGAGAAGGAGAAAGGAAAGAAGGACAAAGGAGAAGGGAAGAAGAAGCATTAGAGGAGTCTCACACGGGAGCAGGCTTTGCTCCTGGTACAGGGCCTTTACTTCCTGGTGGCAAGGAGGTGAACGCCGTTGAATTTACAGTACTTGGGACGGGAGCAACAGAGCGAGACGCTAAAGCTCCTGGCGTGAGCATGCATGACATCATCAAGAAGTCAGCCAGCGTTCTACGACAGGACAGCTCTTTGACAATGCGCTCCAACAAGGAGAACCCTCTGGATCGGCGGAATCCTCTGTTCCCACTGCAGACCGTGAGGATGGAGGTGCTTGAGGAAGAGGGTGCTCCGCGCCGGCTGACGGAGGAGGCTGCTCAAGGGGCCCTCATTGCTCTCAATCATTTGGCTGGATTTGGGACATCAGGGCCTGTTGCTATCTCCTCGAGTTCTCCTACTTCTTCAGCTCACGAAGTGGAGCTTGGAGTTCGTTCGAAAGCGGAAAAAAGTGTTTCACGTCTTGTGCAGCGCAATCACATGTGGGGGGTGTCGGAGGAGGAGTTCGATTTCGATTCGTTTTTCCAGGGACGTGGGGTGAGCTACCAGGGTGATGAAATCAAGATGGCCCAGAAACTTTCATGGGAAGCCGTCAAACAATCGTTGCCCGCGGAAACTGGTTCCTTGCCTTTAACCGAGTTTTGTAGGTTAGGCACGCTTGCATATACCAGCGGAGGTTGACCGGCTACATAGGACCCCAACAAAGAGATGTCACATAGGACCCCCTGCTAAACCCAAGCGGCCACATAGGACCCCTGATCCTTTGAAGCCACAAATGTAGCTATCCAGTTCTCATACTTGAGAGCAAATGCTTTGTGGAACTGCATGCAGGGATGCCAGGGCACTTATAAAATAACGCCGCAAGCGCTTGCAATCTGTGGATGAAAAAGCTATAGCTTTATATTTTGGACCTTCCGCCACGTGCATTGTGTATCAGCATGCCCGTACAATTAAGAGTCGTTAAGAGTTAATGGGGCATGTATATCCAAGAGAGGTTGAGAGACCTTATATATAGAACCCCATATATAGTGGTACGTATGGGATGGGCTATATAAGGCTGTTCAACCTCTCTTGTATATGTCAAGATGTGCTGTGAGTGTTCTGCCGGCCGGTCAATTGCTCAGGAAGCGTGTGTATATGGCCCCACAGGGAAGTTGGAGCACTTGTGGGCCCAGGTCTCGACAATAGATCAAAACATGTTATATATAACAAACCTTCCCACCACAGGTTTTATATATGGGAAGTGAAGCCAACCTTTCCCCCCCTTTCCCCCCGAGAACCCTGTCGGCAGCGCGCTGGCTGCCATGTTTTCCTCGGGCGGCTCGGGTGACGAACCTTGGAGTGAGGCCGGCCGGTGCGCGAGCGCACGGGAGATCTCGATACCAAGAATTAAAAATACGCACCCGGAGATTTTCTAGCTCAAGCCCTCAGAAAATGTTGGGAAGGATGCCACTAATAATTGTTTTAGATCAAAGGTCTGCTGTCCCGTCTTGAACCGGAAGCCATGCCGTCCCGTCTTCGCCGGCAAAAAATACTCCGGACAGAATGGGTATCATGGATGTGCAAATGTATGATGAAGAAACTCCGTCCGGATTCGGAAAGAATCCACACCACTGATCGCCTACTTCCACTTGGGTCATTGAGAAGGAAATGTGTCAGGAAGATCTTTTCTGGGTGGATTTCGGAATGCTTTTATGAAGGACGGGTCATCACCAGCACACTTGCGAAAGAAGTGGTCGTCCGATTGCGGCGAAAGTTTGGTTTGGACACGGATGACTTGGAGGACGTTGAGATCAAAGCAGAAATCAAACGCATGCATGCGCTGCTGAAGACTGCTCGGAAACGTCGACTGGGTACCGCCCAAAGCAAACGCAGTGCGATGTCGTCCATGGATCTTTGTGACACTCTCCCCATGGATCTGGAAGAATCTGGTGTAGAGGACCCTAGCTGTGATGTTTGACACGCTTCGTTTAGTT